ACTAATCTCATCTACTCCTCTCCACCTTTTTCATATTCTTCTCTCCCATTCTACCACCCTCTTCTCCTCCTTCCCTCCTCCAACTACAATCCCATCATCTCCCCCATCCCCCACCTTACCTTTTTCTTTCTCTTCTCACTTCTTTCTCTCTTTCTTCATCACTTTTCCATCCCCCCCCACACCCAACTCCGAACTTTTCTGTTTTTCCTTCTTTTCTCTTTCTCTTTGATGTAAAATTTTATTTTCCTCCAAAAATCTGAATTATTTTATTCCCTACCTCTTTTCTTATTTTCTGATTTATTTATTTATTTATTTTATTTATTTTGAAAATTCAGAATTTTTTGCGGCACCTCTATATGTTGCTAGGACTTGGTCTTTCTTTGTTGTCGGCGCAAATTTTGACCCCTTGGGGGTAACGAAGTGTTGCCGGAATTTTCCGTTTTCTGCATACTTAGTCTTTTTCAGCACATCTTGACCCCTTGGGGGTAGCGAAGTGTTGGCAAAATCTTCTTATTTTACTTAGTTTTTTTTCTTGACGGCACACTTCGACCCCATGGGGGTAACGAAATGCTGCCGAAATTTTTGAAAAAAAATTACAAAACTTAGCTTCTTTTCACTCTCCTCCACCTCCTTATTTATTTATTTATTTTTTTTTATTTTTTTGAAAATTTTAATTTGCGGCATTTTGAAAGTTAGTGTGTCCCTCTTGCACTTTCCTTCCTCTTCGCACATTTTTGACCCCATGCGGGGTGGGAAAATGCTGTCGAAAATTTCAAAAAAATAAATATTCTCTCTCCTCAATCTTTACATTTTATTTATTTATTTATTTTTATTTATTTTATTTTTATCTCGAAATTTTATTGTTTATTCTATTTTCTCCCCCCCTCCCCTCCATATTATCTTTTTTTTCTTGATTAGGTCGCCGTTACCCTCCCCTAACCACCTAAACTCCGGTTAGGGTTTTTTAGGGTTTAGGGTTCTCCTAACTCTCGCCCCCCTTCCTACTCTCCCGCCTCCTCCCGTCGGGCACCTTGGACCTGGACGGCTCCTTCCCTCTCGAGCGGTTCGGCGCCTTCGTCTCACGCGCGACCCGCAAAATCCGAGGCGAGCCGACTCACATATACTCACTCCGCTCCCGCGGTCCCCTTCCTCTTACCAGTGGGCCCCTTTCCCCACACACTCCTTTGAGGACTACCTCCATTCCCCTTCCGGCCATGGAAGGGAGTTCATCCGAGGAGATCGCCGCGGCGCAGTCTGCACCCCAGGTCAGCGCGTCGTCCGCGGCTCATGATCAGGCCCATGCGAACACCATGGACCTTCATGCCGTACTTATAGCAATCCAGGCACAACTTAGTACGCTTGGACCGTTGCAAGCGCAAATCAATGCGCTAGCCCTCGACGTCAACCGCCTGAAGGGCTCCCCTCATCGCTCTCCCCATCGCTCTCACACCCTTTCCCCTACCGGCTCCGATTCCGGCTCCCCAGGACTCCGAGATGGAGTCACCATGGTTCCCCCTCCTCTGCGGGCCAGGCCCAACACTCCCCCTCAGCGGTGGCGAGTGCTGCTGCCGCTCAGACCACCCCGTCTGTTGCGGCAGTTCTTTCGGCCACGGCCGCCCCTACCGTCTCTACTACTGCCGTAGGTGCTGCGGTCCAGGTACCGCCTTGTGGCCCAGCAGTTTCATTGACCCACACCGGTGTTGCTTCCCAGCTTCCCGCACCGGTCGCGACAATACGACTCCGCCCTCTTCTTCCTGCCTTCGTCCCCCCGCCCCCACAGCAGGGTATCGCCCAGGCTGGGATTCCTCCTCCCACGGGGAGACCCGCTCCGCCCCCTCCACTTCCGACCCCGCGCACCCAGCGAGTGGCCACTTTACAGGCCACCATCGCGCAGGCTCAGGCGGAGATTCTCGCTCTGAGACAGCCTCACCCATCACAGGCTGCCCACCCTTCCTCCTCGACCACCCCTTCGGTCCCCATGATGCAGGCTCGTTTCCCTCGACCTGCTCCTCAGCTTCTTCCCTCTTACCTGGTTATTCCAGGACAGCTGCCCGCGGTCGTTGCCTCCTCATCCGCTGGTCCATCAGCCAGCGGCCACGGCCCACAGCCTTCTCCCACCTCCGCCCCAGCAGCGGCCTCGACTTACGCCGCCGCAGTGCACTGGCCTCGATCTCTCTCTCCCCGCCATCACCACAGTGGACATCCTCCTGTGCGCACCACGGACATTCCCGAGTATGATGGGACATCCCGCGTCTCTCGCTGGTTACAGATAGCAACGCGCACGCTCTTTATGATGACCACCCGTCAGGAGTTGTGGTGCGATGTGCTCGCAACCAAATTGCGAGGTAGCCCTTCCACTGAGTGGGATGATCATTATACCCAGCGCCTCCACGTGGGTGAGGTCCCCACTCTTGCCGACTTCGCGGCCTTCAGGACCGTTTCGGCGCTCGTCATGACGCCACCGACGCCTTAGCCCACGTCACCCAGACCAGATGGTCCGGGTCCTCCATACCGGCCGACCTGGAGCGTCACATCCGGGTGTTCCAAGACGCTCGCCTTGTTTGTGACGAGACGTTCCTACCGGAGGTCACACTCACCGACCGGTTCCTCGTCAGCCTGCCGACTGACTATCGCTTAGAGCTACGGAGGCGATCATTCTCTTCCGCGGAGCAGGCATACGAGGCTGCGCGTCAGTACCAGAGGATGTGCAGTCGCTTTTCCGCCGACCCATCCTCTTCGTGGCTAGCCGCCACCTCCCAGTCTCGTGGTACCAACAGAGGCCGCCCCTCGTTTGCTGGTCGTTTTCGTCGCCCGACTCGACCTGGAGCGCCATTCTCTCGGTACTACAGTTCTCTCGAGTATGGAGAGGACGCCTCAGCCGAGCTCGATCCTACCATTGGGGATACCTCCGAGGACATCGAGCTTCGGGACGTCATCCAGTACCACTTGGATGACGACACTGTTTCGATGGCCGAGCGCCTGCAGCTGGCCATGTCTGCCATGGGTCGTGCGCGCAGTCGGATTGCACAGGCTGGCGCTCGCACACCCACAGTTCCTCGGATAGACCTCGCCGTCGTTGTCCAAGCGAGTGTCGGAGTGTCTGCGGCCAAGCCCAACCCGCACTGATCTGGGGGGTTGAGCCCCCAGTTGCCTGGATGTATTTGTCATCAGCGTGGGCCATAGGTAACGAAGATCAATGGCCAGGAACGATGAATTCAGTGACGCATGACATTACCCCTATTGTGACATGCCACGTGCTATCCTTCTATTTCTTTGTTTTTTATTAACCTCCTATACTTGAACATTGTGCCGACGGAATTGATCCGAGCTGGATCTATCTCCAGGTCCATCTCTAACAGTTGCAGCCAACGAGGTCTAGTTGTGACCAAGGGGCATTTTAGTATTGAATATCCCAATTTCAACGAGTATTCCGCGAGATCTGGATACTTGCCACTATGCTCCTGCTGGGAGCAGCTGAAACTCGTCCCGTGTCAAAGACAAGCCTCCATATTGTGGCTCGCTTCCATGGTTGCTACTTCGTCAGCAGTTTGGCTGGCACAAGAGGGTATGATGATGGACCTCAAGTGTTGTAGATGCAATTGGGCGTTTGAATCCACAGTTCATTTGTGGTGGGACTGCGCCACCTCTGACAAAATTTGGAAATGGTGGATAACCCACTGGGCTCGTATCTCAGGTCTGGCTTTCCCATGGAATAAAGAATGGACTTTGCTGGGAGGCATCCCAGAGAACTGCAACAGACACTCTGGATGGGCTACGCGGCTCAGGTAATACGCGCCATTATCTTCTTAGTCATCTGGCTGTGTCGGAATAATCGGTTGTTCAATGACAAAGAGTGGTAGAATAAGCAAATCAGAGGTACCTTTTCTCTCTTACTGCGCCACTCCATTCATGACAAGCTTACTTGAGACGCAAAGTGTCAAGAGCAAAATCCCCACACCACGGCATCCCATGGTTTAGGTCCACCTGGTGCCTGGGCCAACTCACTAGCAACAATCGACACTGAGTGCCGACTATAGTTAGATTCATGGGTCTTGATATGAGGAGTTTTACCAACCTGGACTGCTCGGTCGCTGGTTCGGTCGCAGGAGACTGGCAGGGGGTAGTCAGTGGAAGGAGCGTCAACTGCACTAAGGGATCTCTCTAAGATCTCTCTCCACCGTTTGTAGGTGGACGAGTAGGTACATACATACTACATAGGCTGCAGTTTTTTTTTTTTTTTTTTTGTTCCCCCGTGGAAGGGAAAGGGTTGTGCCGCACTCTACTGCAGTGCAATACAGAGGCAACACTGGAGGCGTCGAGTAAGCAAGCTTACCCGTACGACCCCTCAATGGCCCAGACAAATTAATTTAATATCCCGTGGTCCGATGGACCACGGATCAGATATTAAAAACCGATCAGAACAGATACTACACTTGGGGGCTCGTTAGACACTCCTAAAAGAATCCTGAAACTTTTAGGACGAGTCCCAAAGGTTTTTTAGGATTTCGTGCGTCGTCTTTACACGCAGTCCTAAAAATCATCTTTTAGGAATCGTCCTAAAAGGTCTCCCGCGGCCGGTTTTCATATGCGTATATGCAGCCGCGCCGCCGATGTCCGTCCCCTCCTGGATGTTGTCCGTGGTACACAGTGCGGAGGCCCTTGGGCGGAGGAAAAAGGGGTGGGTGAAAAGCGCAGTCCCCCCGAACTTCAAAAATTCAAATTTGAATTTTTGCAGACGCAGGGTAGCACGACGGAGGAAGGCCAGGCGACGCGTGTGATGTCAAAAACACGGCGGTGGCGAAGTGCACGCTGTGGGTATCCGTCTTTCGATTTCGCGCAACTTGTGACCAGTGGCCGCATCTTCGTGGTGGGCGCTTCTTCACCTACGTCGTGCGCGCTGCCCTGTGGAAGCGTGGAGCAGCGGGCGCGTCTTCCGCTGCGCTGTGCGTCATCTCCTGTGCCGTCGTACATGAGCGACTGCATCTTCGGCACCGGCGTGCGTCGTCAAAGTGGCGGTTTTCAGCACCGGGCGTTTGTTTGGCGGTTGTGGCAGGCATCTAGCTATGGAGAGCATGGGGTTCTTGGATATGGACGTTCGCGGGTGCGGGCAGGGTCTTCGGGATGACGAAATCGAGGCGGTGGCGATGGTCGTAACTGCCGTCATCGTGAACGCGATGCGAGGTGAGCCGTCCTCGTCACGCGACGCGCTGGCGGAGCTCCGCAAACGACGAGCGCTGTTGCAGCGCATTGGCGAAGCGCCAGATTGCGTGGCCACGTGTCAGGCAGTCATCCAGTTGTGCGCCGCGAGGTCTTCTGGCGTTTTCCCGTGGGAGACCCCGCGCTGGTGGATTAAACGACGGACTGGCGGAACATGGGAGGACCGTCGCTTGTGTGACGACGCGACGGACGAGTACTACCGCCAGAAGTTGCGCATGTCGATGGCCATGTTCAGGCAGATCGTGGCCGCGTGCGCCGCGTACGTGGAGAAGAAGGTGACACACTATAGGATGCCATTGCCGGTGGAGCAGGTCATCGCGTTCGCGCTGTACAGGTGGGCGTCAGGAGAGACATACGAGAGCGACACTTCTGCCTTCGGCATCGGGAGAGCAATTGGACTGCAGGCCGTCCGCGACGTCACTTCGGCACTGCGGCAGGCGTACCCAAACGTGATAAAGTGGCCAGTGGGCTGTAGACGCGCGCAGATTCTGCGCGCTTTTCGTGACAAGGGTTTCCCGAACTGCTTCGGCGCAATCGACTGCACATACATCTTCATTGACAAGCCTGCCGGCGCACCATCTGCCAACTACTACGACCGCAAACAGAAGTTTTCCGTGCAGGTGCAGGTGGTAGTGGATTTGGATCTGCGGATCATTGATGTCCACATCGGATACCCGGGAAGTGTGCACGACGTCCGTGTCCTGCACAATTCCCAGCTGTGGAGGCGTGCACAAGCTGGCGAGCTGTTCGACGCACCTTCGGTGAGTCAGCCGCACGGAGTCGTCACGCGAGGTTACTTGCTAGGCGACAACGGTTATCCTGTTGTCTGCCCCTGGATCGTGCAGCCGTACGGAGGAATCGACCAAGGTCATGAGGAGGAGCGGTTTGACAGGCGGCAGAAGGTGGCGCGGGGGTGTGTGGAGAGAGCTTTCGGGCGGCTGAAGTGCATGTGGCGTCTTTTCTTGCGCACCCACAAGATGAACCTGGATACCTTGCTGCAGCAATTCGTGGCAGTGTGCGCTCTCCACAACATCCTCCTAGACGTCGGGATCGACTTCGATGAAAACCTGTTGTGGGAGGTGGATGAGAATGGTGTGCGTCGGAGAGTGGACTCGCGGGCGGGCGGCAACGTTGCACGAACGTCGACAGGGACTTGTTGCGTGACGCTCTTCGAGACCGGCTGGCTTTGATGTAGGAGCACGTAGACGCGTGGTGGGGGTTTGGTGCGTGTGTGTATAGGGTGTGTGTGTGTCGGGGGTGTCGGGATTGCGGACGTGGGTCGGTGCGATCAGTAGGAGGGTTCATATTTTGACGTGGCCCGTGGCCCGCGGCCGTCGTCAGCGAAGTAGCTCTGTAGAGCGGACGGATGCATGGTCGTCGGTGATGATTTCGTTTGCTGTGTTCGTCGTGTGGAGGGTTGCGTGGTTCGCACGTACGTGCGAACATTTAATATTGGAACAACCTTTTTTTTCCATGTTGTCAGTCGCTTCAAATGTTTTTTTTTTTTTTTTTTTTTTT